GGTGGTCGCCTGCAGGGAGGATGATTTCCCCTTCTTTTCCCGCTTTTCCATTCCCATTGGCGCCCGCCGGTTCATTCCCGGCAGGCGGTGTGGTGCTCATGGTTTTGGACATGGTGTGTAGGCAAAGGGTGTTTGTTTGTTTGCACCGCCTGCTGGTTGGTTTCCTGTGACAAGAGGTGATACACAGTTTCCAGAACTGTCTGAGAGTGGGAGGAGAGACAGACACAGAAAATGAGCTCAAGTCTCCGCGCTGCTGCTGCTCAATCCGCCGTCCCGTCCCCCCCCTCCTTCCACCGCAGCCTGGAGATGGGGATGGGTGGGGATGCTGCTTGTGCCGTTTTCGGCAGTGACAGGAGGTTTGGGCGAGAGGGAGCGGAGCTGCGGGCACCAAGTTTGATTTGCAGCTGGGACCGAGCGGATTGGTGCGGCCGGATGCCAACATCCCTGCCAGCAGTGACTGTCTCAGCAAAACACTGTGATTTGAAAGATGGATTTCTGCGGGGCCCCAAATCTCAGTCACACAACCCTCATCCCTCTCTGGTGATCCTGGCTGGTGCAGAAAGAAGAGCGTGGGGACATTCACAGTCTCCAGAGCAGCAGCAGCAGCAGCAGGAGGAGGCAGGAGCCGCCCCAAGCGACACCGCACCGGCCGGCGAGGGGGAGACGCCGCTTGGGGATTTATTCTTCGGGCCCCGGCTCCCGCCCTCTGGAAAGGCGGCCCTGAGGTGGCAACTGCGGGCTCGGCGGGGGGGAACTGCTCCTTGGGGTCAGAAGAGTCACTGCTCACCTGGGAGGTGATTCCAAAAAGCCACGCTTCTCGGATAGAGTGCCTTTCCCTGGCTAAACTTCTGCCTCCGCACTTGACAGCTTTATTGTAATAAAGTTTATTAGCTTCACCTGTAGGTGAAGTCTGTGGGCTCTTGAGACCTGCCAGTCATGCGTGACATGCAAACGGGTGGTTGGTGTGGCTGCACACAAGCGTTAAAAATGGGTTGCTTCTCCCTGGGTAGCTGCTAGATAGTATTAGAAATTATTATAGTGTTCAGCAACACATTTGAGTTGACATTTTAATGCTCGAGCAGGATGGTGCTTTTATGTGAGCCCCATTTTCTTATTTTCAGAGATGTAGCTGTGATTTGGAATAATTCACCTTTTAAGCAGGCGCTGTCTTTTAAGTAAGTCAAAAGCTGCCCACACTTGCAAACCAAAAGCCTTCATAAAAATTATGCCAAAATATGCTTGTTATTGATTCTATTTCTAGAGGTTTCTCACACTCAGTGGGATATTGTTGAAACAGCAAGGGTTGTACGTTTTAGTGGCAGGATTTACCCTCTGGCTTCAGAAACCACTCGCTCCCTGCATTTGAGCTCTGTTTAATACATATGTTTAAAATAAAATAATAATAATAAGCTCCCCTCTCCCCTCACAGCTGCAGATTTCCCTTCCAGCTTCTCTGGTTTCATTCGCAATTCACAGAATAGAGGATAAAATCTTCAAGTCTTTTCCTCAAATGTTTTCTCCATGTGGTTAGTACTACTGCTTTGCTGTCGTGTTTTCAGCTGGAGCTGACCAAGCTGATGACTTTTTCTCTGGGGAAGAGATGAACTACAGTGGGTGCAGGATGGGTTGAATTAATTCACGGAGTCCAATTTATCATTGCTCAGCCTTTTGAGCAGTTGGTTTCACCCTCGCAATTTGGAAATAATTTGTTACCACTGCCCAGATTGTAAGGTAACATATGAGCAGACTTGCACAGGTGCATAAATGAGCATGTGGATTGCTGAGAAGTGTTGGGCTGATGTGTCCAAAATGTGCTTCTGCCTTTGTGAAATTTATAAAATAGGTGATTTGAAGTCAGTAGAACTATCCCCTTGTGAAGAACACTTTTTGCCTTGGAACATAGTTTTTTGTTTCATGAGACTTGGAAGACTTCTTTTTCTCCAAATGTGAGGTCTATGGCTTTTTTGTACTGTCGACTGTGCTATGTAATACTGTAGTATTTAATTGGAGAAGTTTTCTTGTATTGTGACTACAAAATACTGCTGTCAAGCTTTCATAGTTGGTAAAGAAGAATTACAAAATTTTCGGTGGATTTTCATTGTATAACTTATTTCTAGTGTAGTTCCATTTTTTAATTTATTTTTTTTTGACTGGGCACAGAAGGAAAACACTTTTTTTTCCTTACTATGTTAGGTGCCGGTTGGTGAAGACTGGGGTGGTGTCATAAACAAGCTATTTAAAGAGTAAAGTAGTAGAAGTCATATGTCTTAATCTACTACCCATTTTGTTAAGACTATGTCACATTTTACTTCCATTTGTACAACAAGTGTTTTGAAATGATTTCTCATGTACTAGAGATAATTAGGTCTTGGTTTGATTGCAGTCAGTGGGTTACTTGAAGGAAAAGCCAGTTTTTCAGTTTGTCTTCAGGGTGTACATCTGTCATAATTCTGCTTTCTTCCCATTCTGTCTCTGCAGCTGTTCTGTGCAGTTTATTACAATGACACCCGTTAACACGGTTACAGTTAATTGTCTGTCAGAGTTTGAATTATACACTCTTTTTACCCAGAGGTTTATACAGTCCTTAAAAATACCTCAGGAAGAATTGCGCTATGTAAAACCTTTGACATGAGGATGTGGATTTTTTAATGTATAATTATTTTTAGAGCTTTAGTTCTGTTTAGCTATTTGCATAACAAAGACTGACACACTTAACATCTTTTTCTTTGATCATAGCTCTACTTGGGGTCAAACTGAGTGAAAAAGTATGCTGTGTTCTAAACTGCAGTAGTAGCATAAAAAGTTCTGTGGTCCCTTGCACACAGGTGTACATGTGTGCTCACTGCCATGCCAGTTTTATGGGCTAATGTTTGGAGTTCTGCTCTGAGGAAGCTGGGAAAAAGAATTTGGATTTTTTTTCACTTGTATCTGTGCAACTACTGGAACTTCAGTGTGGGAGGAAAAAAAAAGTAAAAGAAAAGATCCTGGCATTGCTGTACAGTGTGGTTTCTGGTTTTTGTTGGTTCTTTTAAATAATCTCTTGCAGAGCTAAGAAGAGGAACATGAGAATGCAGACTGATAAAAATAGTGAATTTGCTGTATTATGTCATGTTGCTGATTCTAACCCACTGCACTGCATCTGCCAGCAAAGACTGAGAACTAGGCAGACGTCCTTATGTCTAACTGGATGTGGTTATTTGTGTAGAGTTAAGGTGTTTGTTGCTCACCTCCACAAGGATATGTAAATCCAAATGTCATTTTGTGGCCTGACATTGATTACATTGGATTATCATCAAGTAATTTCATTTGCATAGCAGTTTACAAATATTTTGGTATAGGATTAGTACTGTCTCTGAAATACAGTGGCCAGAAAAAACCTTTTAGGAGTTGTAATGTTGCCTTTAAAAATTATCTGAGCAACTGTATCATGTATGTCCAAACTTACATTTCTACGTCTGAAGTTTTTACCTAATCAACCAGTAAAACCCAGAGCTGAGCTTTCAGAGCTAGGGAGGTGGAGAAGGATGGAGAAGCCACTGTTGGAGTGTCTCTGTGAAGCACAGTGCCTTCAGCCTCTGGAGATGGGCAATGGTGCGTGTTGCAAGCTGTGCCACGCTCTGCCCTGGTATGGCTAACTCTTCTGTGGATGCTTGGTGGCTAAAATCTCGTGGCCTGTGCCCCATCTGTGCCATTTATTGTAGTGGTGCGATTCCACAACAGGCTCTTAGGTGCATTGTCTTAGAAATGGGGTAACATTGCCTGCAGAGTCTTGGCTGTTTCTATAAAGCTGTGTTTGGTTGAAGGCTGGCATTTGTGTGAGTCTGCTTTCTCCCAAATAAATGGGTGTTATATAGAGTCCTCAGGAGGAATAGCTACACACATGCTGTGTGTTGGTCTGTTTGATTTCTGAAAGGATGATTTTTGCATGAAGAAACAAGCATCTTTCAAGGAAATTAAACAGAAATGGCATACAAAAGTTGCTGGGTTATAAAGAATTTACAAGTCACTGAAAACTCAGGGAATGTTTAGCTTGGTGGTTCAGCAGTCTTTGTTACATCAGGGTTACCAGACTCTCTTGTAGCTTTACAAGTGTTTGACTTATTCTGTAGGTGAACAGTTAAATGAGCAAACGTTCTTCTGGGGATGGAGTGAGAATTTGGGAAAAGTGTTGGTAGAAGTGTCTGTAATAGAAGATACAGGGTTCAAGGGCACTGTGTGGTTGGCTGCTTCGTTGCTTCAGAGAAGCATTCATGTTGCAAAGGGGTTTGGGAAGTTGTTCCTGGCATGTGTGGGTGCAGCGAACGTTTTGTGGAAACTTCTGGACTAAACAGTGGTTACATGGTTGCATGCAGTTGTTGGGAATTGAGCTCAGTAACCTGGGTGGTCTCTTCCTGTCCTGCAAGTGTTGTGGGCTGAGTGCATAGTTTTTAGTTAATATTGGTATGAATCCTAAAGCATGGCTTAAATGTTTTGCACTTTTTATGCTTATACGTGAATTCTCTTTGCTTGCAGGATTAGTGATCATAGCCGATTTGTACCATTAAACCAGCTGTGGTACAGTCAGCCTTGATGAACCTGCCTTTACTTCTGACCCGTTGGAATTGACAGACCTGCTTCAGTTTCAGAGTATGTTTTAGGAGATCAGAGTTGGATCAGAGGCATCATATATATGCACCTGAGTATATTAAGGGTATGTCAAAATAAAATCAAGTGAAAAATACCAACATGTTCATCACTGTGAAGAGTGGGAATTTCAAATAAAAGTAAAGTTGGCTGGCCCTCAAATTTTAGGTTAGGAAATCAGATTAGGAAGGGAGAGTTATATAAATCATTTTATTGATTTAAAAGTTTGCTAGGTTTTCCATTCTACCTTTATCAGTATAAAAATTCCTGTTTATTTTAGTTAAGGATGTCCCATGAAGAATGGCTTACCATAGTTTGTTTTATTTCTTCTTGAAGATTAAAGTAAGTAGTACTTGAATTAGCAGTATTCCCTAAACATGCTGGGAAAATGTGTATTTCTGTGGCTGAACAGGAGAAACCTGCACCTTCAGGCTGCATCTGTCCCATCACTATCCATAATCTGTGTTTATTTTTACTGCATTTTTTGTGGAACTTTGAGGTCACCATCACCTGATAGAAACCAGTCATGTGTGAGGCAGAGGCACTGTGATGTCCTTAAGAGCAGCATTTCGGTCTGTGTGATTGTAAATTCTTACTAGCTGTTCTAGTGTTATCTCTAGTCCGTATGTTCTGAGCTGTGGATATGAACACGTGATGGGAACAGTTTAACATTATTTCAGAAGCTGAGAAAAAGCAGGTTTGTAACTTCTAATGACAAAAATTCTAGGGGTTTAATCTTACGAGGTTTGAGACTTGCTCTGAGAAGTTAAATGCTGCTTTTCCATCTGTGATCTAGCTCTGTGTAAACTCAGGTTAGGTTCAAAGATGGGAAAATGAGATCTCTGGATTTTAACTTTTTTTTGTTTGGTTTTCCCTTTTTTTTCTTCACATCCATCTAAAGAAGAATCTCACAGAAGCTTCATCAAATGGGGTGTTTCCCTTCATGTTACTTTTGAGAACACAGGCTTTTCAACTTGGCCAACTTTAGAAACCTGACTAGAGTGGACAAGGAAATTGCTGTCTTATCTAATAGTCTTATCTTCCAAGAAAATGGCTTCTGTTCTGGCTTCTCTTAATTCCTGAAGAACTGTGGAGAGTGCTTGAATTGGGAGAAGTGAATAGCACGCTCTTCTTTAAACAAAAGCAACAACAAAATATGCTTAGTTGTGGTAGGCAGGAGAAGCTTCCATGTCTTACTTTGTGAATTTGCGGTAAGTATAGTTAGGACAATGTGAACTCGAAATACACTCATCCAAAACAATGTGGAGAAGCAGAACTTCAGTTTGCTTTTTCCTTGCAAGCTCATGGGTGTGTCTCTGTATATATGCTGTTATTTTGCTTTACGGTGCATAGGGACTTAAAGACTCATGTGGGAATGAACCAAGAAGTGAGGATTTTGACCAGTTATATACAAGTAACATTTCTGAGATAGTCTAGTTTTTCTTTATTTTCTTCCACATCCTCTTTACTTTGTTTATAGTTGGTAATTCCATTCAAAGCGAGCATGTTCTTTTACATTGCTGTTGTGAATATTTTGTACAATTACAGGAAAACTATAGGAACTACTAGAAAAAGTACTTTACAGAATAGGTATTTATCCCTCTGTTTTTTTTGCCTTGTAGCAGCTAATTGATTTTTCAGTTCTGTCTTAGCTTGCTTTGGATCTGAATATTGGCTTTCTGTCTTTGTAAGTGTCTGCATGAGAACTTGGCTCTGAATCTACTACATTTATAGCAGATCTGTGTTCAGATGATTTTGATGGTCCAGGCTGGTCTATGTATTTATTCACTAGCAGCATTTCCATCTGCCATGCAAACAAAGTTCCGGTTTGCTACAAAGCACTTTTGGAGAGAATTCTTCTAGCACTGTAAGAGGTTGTCATTTATTAGTCTTTTTCTCTGGCATCAGACATCATGTGTGAACGTTCACTCTGTGAAATGGTGACAAAAGGTCTTGGTGAAGTTAACCGTTCAATTTATCTTTACCTTCAGTGAGCAAAGTTTGCAGCTCAGAAGGGTTGCTTGCTTCAAAGACAGCCATATTACATCCCACTCCGTGGGAGGGAGGTTTCCCCCCACCTCTGTTTACATGTGTAATTTGCAGGAGGTAGTCTTGCAGTGGTCAGGCTCTTGCAACTATGCAAAGTTTACTGAAAGTGTAAAATAGAGTGCTTGTGATATGTTAGTGATGATAGAATGAATTCCCTCAGAAAACTCTTACTTCATTTTACATTAATCACGTTTGGAAGTGAAGATATTTTTGTGCCTTTTTTGGAAATAGTGTCAGACTTTGGTTAGGCTTTTTGGGAATTAATATTATAAAAGTTGAAAACGTTACTGAGTTTACTGCAGCGAGATGTTCTCAGTGAACTAAGTTGAAATAAACTGTGCACTGGAGGGTCAATGAAAAGAGTTTTGTTGAAAGGTTTCTGGGAAATCCCAACATACATGAAAATAAGGAAGTTAGATTTTCTGTGCATATCTAGAAGCAAAAAAGTATTTTAGCATCTGATTTCCAAATCTGTACCCCAGAGATAAGTATGAGGGCTTTGCTGCTAGCAGAACTCCCAGACCTTGTTGGTATTATGATTGATATGTGGTAAGCAAAGACTCAGGGGATTTGATGTGCATCTAGAGTTCTTGTCAGTTTAAGTTAGGTTGGAAATGCCTTTTTGCACTTGTCTTGTCACGTTTTTCTGCTCTTCAACTTTCACTTTTTAATAGCTTTTTACATATAACGCTGACTCGCTGTTTACAGCTTCCTGATTGTTTCTGAGTTTGGTTTCATTCCACAGAGAATACATGTGAAAATACTAATACCCTGTAAACAGCAGTTAAAAAGATACAGAACTTTTTGCTTGACATCACTGGTTCACTTGCAGTTGAACTTGGTATTGGCAGACGTCTGGTAGTTGAGACGAGACGAGGTCCTGTGTAATCAATTGGTGTTCTGATTCCTGAAAAGCAGTCTTAGGCATGGTGCTGGAAATATGCTTGCAGGAGGAAGTGATTTACCTTAGGGAGTGGTGCCCGTTATCGTGTAGATGATGCATGTTTAGTTAATCTGGGAAGACTTGGCTTGCTACTGCTGATGTTTCTTTTTTTAAAAAATCTAAGTGGATGACTTTAATCTTTAATTTGGTAAATCTGGCACTTTAAACAGTGGTTTAAAAAATGGTTCCAAAATCATATTAGCCAAAGTAAATATTTACACAAGCAGTAAAAATGTTATTGTATGGCAAATCTAGTGGCAGAATGGGCAGGGGAAGTTAAGCACACTGACTGCAAGTATTTAGTGATATTTAAGACCCCCCAGGACAAAATTTGCTTTTGCTTTTAGATGAAAAGTGTCTACAGGGTTGTCACTGATACTCTCCAATTCTGATCACCTGCTCATATGATGACTGCCTAATTAAGCATCCTTGAGATATTCACTGTTCATATTTCAGATGCTGTTTAAAGTTGTTTGTTTTCCTTTGTGTGCTGTAAATTGCTGAATGCCACGAGAAACACAACTTGATGACTCTGTATTATTATCTTGGGTTAAGTGCTGTCTCATTGCTTTGCAGGCTGCCTGCTGTTTTCTGTGGAGATCATGAAACGACGAAGGCTTCCTAGCAGCAGTGAGGATTCTGATGACAATGGCAGTAAGTGCTCCTTTGTTGTAGAGTGCAATAGGTTATAAGTTTAAAAACACATTTTGATGCAGTGTTATGTGACAGAGGCATTTTGCATATTGGCTGGACTGGTAAAAATGTGAATTATAATGGTCTAGTTTTGAACTCAAGTCATTCTGAGCACAGGTGAACAGCAGACTGGGGATTCCCCTGTCTGTTCGCTATATGGTGTTAGTTAATAAGATAAAACAAGAAAAAGTCAGTTGTCTTCTTTAAAATCTTTGCAAGCAGTGTAATTTATCATTTCAAGGACAGAACTTTTATGGAGGCATCTGCTAACATTGTCCACAGTTTAGTATTTAATAGAAGTTTGCATTAGGATTTAAAATTTGCTTCAGTGTTCTCATACTCGTGGGCAATGAAAAGGTATATTTTATTAGGCATAAGCAGAAAAGATTGATGGTGCATACAAGTTGTTCTTTACTTAGTTAGAAGATTATCTTATTTGAGGAATAACTTTCAAGAATTTGAATTCAGTCATTTGCATCAGTAATTTGGATACAGAATGTATTTATTCTTTTCAGCTGTTTGTGTACTGACATAACCCGCACTGAGCTCTGTATGTTATATATATACACCTTATGTTCTGATTCCAGGGACTGATAATCTTTAAGCAGAAAAAAAAGAGAATGGGGGAAGGAGAGATAAAGTGGCAGTTTGGGAAATGTGCCAAGGTGTTTTATTTGCCAAACAAGCAAGTTGTGTGTACTTGATAATAGTTCAGTTTAGCCAGTTGTCACAGTGATTTTCCTGATTTTAATTTGATCTGTCTGGGTGCAGATCTTCAAACCAGAAGTCTTTTGTGAGACTTGAGTATGAAATGTAACAGAAAGTGATCAGGGAGGTTTTCCAGGTGCTTTTGAAAGCTTTACCCTGATAAGGTAGCTTTGTGCTGCCATGTGGCCCTGCATAGGAGACTGCTTCACCTCTGCATTTGGTAGGTGTGTCTGTGCTGCATGGGAGTCTGCTCAGGTATGGCCAAACCTGCACTTTAAAACAACCTTAGGCAAACTGTTGCTGAAATGAAGGAGTGGTAACAGGATTGGAGAAGGTGAGAACAAACAAACTGATTAGCAGTGAGTCCAAATAAAGATTCAATAAAAGTGGTGTCAGATTTGACTTCTTTCTGGAGAACTACCTGCAGCTGGGGGATTTTGGAAAGAAAAAACCCCGAATCAGACCTGTTTTTCCTTGGTTAGAAGTTTACTTGGGGTTATGAAAATTTAAGTCAGTGTACAAAGGTGATGTGTACTTCCCCAAACAAAGATGTGTTTTTAATAGAGAAATAGCAGCAAATGTGATGCCTTTCATTATGATTTTGCTTTTTTTTTTCATTCCCCACCAGCTTTATAAGTGTTTCGTTTTGATAATGGTGTTTATTTTCACTTTTATCTGTTTTTTGCTTTGTGGTTTTTTTTCTTTTTTTACTCTTTGATCTCTTCATATGCCTTGTGTTACTAGCTTTACCAAATAAAATATGAAACAGATAATCTTTGACTTGAAATTCTGAGATAGATATGGTTGGCTGATCTGTTGCTGATTATAATGCTTGTTTGTAATGGTGTTTGATACATAACTAGCTGGAATAGAGCTGTCAATTTACTGAATTAGACTTTCTAAAAAACTGTAAATTCATCTGTTTCATAGCTCAGGATCTAACAAAATGAGTTAGGAAAAGAAAAACAAACCCTTGCCCTCTCTCTAAAGCCTAATTAACATGAGTAACTATTTGTTTAATTAATTATGTGGCAAAAGGCAGTGAAATTTTAAAAGGATTTTCAAGTATTGCTCGAAATACATACCACTTCCCTTGCATCACACTTTGTTTTCTTGATCTGATTATGGTTTTTTTCCCTTTATGAAGGGCAAATGCAGATACAGGTTCCTGCATATTTATTCTATTACTATAAACCTGTTCAAAAAGATCAAGTTTTAATAATTAGAAGCTGAGATAACATTTAATTTAGGGTCAGCAAAAGTTCCAAGGCTTTTTGTTATTCACACTTCCCTGGCAGTATGTCTGGCACTTTTTCTCCACTTACCCTGTTACAGGAGATACTAGTTCCTTGCAACTATGTTTGAATGTCAAGGGTCTCCCCTTACAGGTTTCACCTTCATTTAATCTTATCTTTAGTAGAATTACTGATTGCGCTCACTATGTTAATTTCCATATTATTACTCTGTCAGTGGTATCTCTGATGGACTGTACTGATACTGGTGTTAAAAGGGTAATTTTGTTGCCTAGAATAGTGAAAAGTAAATATTTCTGCAAATTTCTGGGCTCTCTGTTGAAGGCTTTGTTTTCCACTAGGTATTTTTTCTTCTCAGAGTTTCCCAGAGGCAAAAAACAATTAAGTAGCCTATTCTGGGCACTTCGAACAGCCGTCTTGTAATTGAAAAGTTGAAATTTTAATCAACACTTAGTTGGAATCCTATTGCCAAACATCTGCTTCAGTTGAGTCAGTGGCACCTCTTGACCCTCCAGAGCTCTTCCTGCATTCCCATCATGCTAAACTCAATAGTCCTTCAGCTTGCAGCTCAGTGCTGCTCTCCCTCATCTCACAAGGCGAGGGCTGGGCCTCCAGCTGTTGGGTTTTTTCAGTTCCGAAGCTGAGTTTTCATCCTGTGCCGTTGCAGACTCTGTGAACGGGTATCTTAGATTCATCGTGTCACTTAAAGTGTTACAGATGTTGTTGGAGTGACCTGAATGTTATGGTTTGAGGGGGCACAGGCTAATTTTATGGTATCAGTAAGAGGTCCTGGGCAGTATAAAGAAGGGTCAGTATTCCTGCCCATTTCCTTCCATACCCTATAAAAGCCAGGAGGGTGGAAAGTCTGCCCCTTTTCTGCCCTTCTTCTTTGCTGCCAACCTATGCGTGGACATCTTGGAGAGAGGCTCTTTGCCTTCAGCTTGCCAGGTGCTCTGCAGGATTGGGTTGCGTGGAAGAACCCTGGACCCTTTTCCCAAGTTGGCTCTGCCACAAGGGACTTTCAGACACTTATTTCAGCAACCGTTGAAATTAGGTTTTGTATATAATTATATGTTTTTCATGATTATCCCATGTATTACTGTTCCTTCCCTGTTTTGTGATATGACAGTAGTGAGAATGATTTTGATTCATGGGTGAAACACAGAACAGAAGAAAGCTGAAGAACATGACTGCAGTTGCAGAGTGCATACATGTATTTACTCACTTAGGTCAGGTATTTTACTGTGGATGGTTATATGCTGTTTGCAGCATTTTAAAGCCTTGCAGCTTGAAGACAGAATCTTTGCTTTTCTTATAACTGCTTCTTTCCCCTCTGACTTGATTATTTTCCAAAAGCTAAGTGCAGACTTGAAGCCCCAAAAAGTGTTTATTTTGTGTCCTTCAACCTAACTGCTGAAAAGTGTTGAGCTGTACCCCCTTAAAACCAGAGTTCTAAATCCTCCTTTAGACATGAGGCCAAAGTAGGATATTTGAAGCACTGAACAAGAGATGCCAGTGAAAGTTGTGCACAGCAGTTCTGCAGTTAGACCATGGATATCTGAGTGTGTTCTCAGATACCAGGTCACTTTCAGATTTTTTTATCCATGCAATATAATTGAATGAAAAATGGCTGCAGGCATAGTTTCGGATTTTGAACTTATGTCAAATACAGAGGAATGGTATTGGGAGAGGCTTGGGGAAGGGTTTAAGATAATTGGCAGCTTAAAGTAAACAGTTTTTTTTTTTTTTTTTTTTTTTTTCTGTCATCTGTCAGCTTGTTAGTTTCTGTCCCTTTCCAGATAATGTATTAGAGCAACTATAACAGATGATAATATTGGCCAGACCCATCATAAAGGCCTTGTGATGTACATACCATCTTTTTCAAAATGTGTAAGTAAATTAGTAACGTTTACCTCAAACTCAGTCATGTTCTTGTTACATCCATGGCTGCATAGGGCTTTCATAGTTTTTAAGCATTTTTTGTTACAGTGTACTGCAACTTGCTCCTCCATTGCAAAAGTGTCTCTTTATGATTCCGGATCTGGACCTTAATTTTTAGCCCCACTTGGTCTGGAAATCTGCAAAGGAGGTTTGTGCTGAATATCCCATGTGCTTTGTTTCCTGGTAAGATAATGCTGTACAGTGGAGTAGTTTCCATTTATAGTTTCAGGGTGTTTCTTTTGCACAAATTGCTTGGACACCTGGACAGATTGAGTTTGATACAAGATCTGAAGCTCAGACAGTTGTATTGTAGGGAGTTTGGGTGAAATCCTGGCCTTCTTGGATTTTCAAGAGAGTTTGGTTGTTGGTTTCCACGAGTAAGGAAATCATAGCATGATTTTCTTTACACTTTACTTGCTCCCATGATTCCTCTTCATTTATTCTTGGAAGGGTTATCAATTCATCATACTCCTACATGGAGGGTGTCTGAGAGAAGAACTGAAGACACTTGCAGATGAAAAATACTTCTAGGATTTAAAAGGTTTCACGTCATTTCTGAAAAACGAAAGGTTTAATATTTACAGATTATGGAATATGTAATTTAGATGGACCCTTGTTCTATCATTGCTAAACAAATATTATTTTAAAGTTAAATATATTTTGCCAATATCCATCGCTCTTGAATGAATGATAGGAATCTTAGGTTTAGAAAGGGCTTTTCCTCCCAGTGGATTCCTGTTATGTTTGAGATGGATCCCAGAGTGCCTTCACAAAGGTTGCTGAGTACATAACCTGAGGTGTGTACTCCATTTACCACAGAATTGCAGCTGCTGCTGGCTTGAAATGTGGCAATTACTTGGCAGTGCACATAATACTGTGCAGCATGTTATTGAAAAGGAAATTAAGAACATTTTTTGATTTTCAGCTGACCTGCCTGGTAGGTGAGGAATGGTGATTAAACAACAGCATCTAACATCATTACAGTGCTAGAATTTGGGCAAAGCAGCAAGTTTAGTGATCACTGAGCAGCAGGTTTCGTGATAACTGCTGTGTTTTAAAAAAGGATTGTGGCATTGGCCCGATGACAAATAGTCAGAACTAGCATCTTGCTGGCATCTTAGGCTCAGTCGGGCAGAGTGGCTTTTGGTGAAGTTGTTATGCTTTTGAACACTCTGGAAGAGTTATTTGAAAGACTTACCTGGACTGATAGGATATTGCATCTGAGGAGGGGACATCACATGATCATCACTGTCATTTTTGGAGAGGCACATTTTTCTTCACAAGATTGCTAATGTTGAGTACCCCTAACTCCGCTGGAGTTTTAGAGCCTGACAACGTGACATTCTCAGTTTATGAGAGCTGGCTTGGGAGGTGCTTAAATTGACTTTGATAACCTGTATTGTGCTAAGACTTTGTGTTCTGGTATGATAAAACATTGCTGCAGTGGGAAGCCTTGGGCTAGGGAGCTCGAATGGCACTTGGGTCTTAGGATAAAAAATAAAATGGGGTCTAGGAATTCTGCACTGTTAGAAGAGTGACATGTGCTTATGAATGGTTATATGTGTGTTCTTTGAAATTATAAAACTCAAATGCATGCTACTGAGAGAAGGGATCATAGGAAGGAACTCTATTGAACTGATGTGGCAGGGAGCTGCAAGGGCTGTTCATTATCTGTGTTGGATATTGTGCAATTGTGCGGTGTTGTAAAGCACTGCAGAAATCATATGGATCCATGCATTGTTCAGCAGCTGCAAATTGGGTAGTTGTCAATTGACAATAAATTTTGAGTAGGGTCACTGTTAACAAGAGATAAAACACTGTTGCTTTTTCCTGTTTTGATCTTGGGTGAGATTATTGTATAGTAATAGGCTATTATGTAAAGATAAGGAGGCTAGCTGGGGAAATCCTCCAGCAACAGGAAGGTGAGAAGAGGAATTTGGCTATGGGGAATAGTGTCATGGGTTATGTTTGCATACATCTTGCTTTCTCTGTGATGAGCCCTGAAGACTTGTGCACAGACAGCTCTTTCTATACCTAACAATGGAAAACTGCACTTAGAATAGTCTCCTTCTCTTTTATTAGTGCTGGAGTTTGGGTCTAGACATGTGGAACTATGTCTAAGTGACATAAAGCCTTAGTGTAGAGAGTTGTGGGCCAGGCATTAAATGAGGAGACTCTAAGCATCTATATTTTCTCCTCGGGCTGCAGATCTGACAGAGTGTTGGCAGCAGCACCTGGTTGGTCTCAGAGTGAGCTGAGGAGCAGAGGAACAGTGTAGGCATCTGGAAATGCCAGTGTTAAGCAGAAGTGACAGCCAGACATACATCCGTGTCAGGGATGCTTTGCTCTGTTGTGCTGCCTGGTGTAATGGGTAGCAGGAGTGTATTTACAGTGGGAGAAGTGCTTTGAGACGCCCAGTGATCTGAGGCTTTGAAGTGTTCAGAGGCTGTAGCAGCAGGTAGTTCTCCAGGTACACAGCTGGGTGCCTTGTGGGTGGCTTTACAGCAGCCTTGTGCATGATACATAATAGCTGAGCCTTTTCTGCTCATGCTGACTAGTGTATTAGTTGTGGGATAGAATTCCTTGAGGGCTGAAACTGCTTTATTGGTCCCGAGGAAATTTCTGTTTTGATGGGCATTTTTGGAATAAAAAAATATTCTTGACCGATCATTTAATAACTTGAAACAGTTAAATTGATTATGTTTGTCCTTTTGGGAAGTGTATGTTCTTCAAAAATACAGAAAAAGAATTCACACTCCTTGATTGCTTTCTTTTATTATCAGGACGTGTATGTGTTATATATACCCTGTAGCAGTATTATAAAAACATTGTATTTACAGTGTAAGGTGTATATTGTAGCCTAGGGGAACAGAAAGTTTTCCTACTGGAGCCTTAGAAGTCACCTTTGCAACACCAGTAGTGTGTTAAAGGTTTGCCCCTGTTGCTGTGAATTACACCACATTTGTGGTTTAGGATTTCTCTTTGCTTTTTTTTCTGTAAGTGGATAAATGCAAAGGAAAAACTGAGACATGGTAGTAAGAGTATGATTTCCTCCCATTGTTCTCAGTGATGAAAAGCTTTTACAACACAGGAATG